CTTGTGACGTTAAATGAATACATTTCGGCTATTTTGATTGGCCACTTGAGACTAACCAATCCGATGTTGTTTAGTTCTCAGTGCTGACTGAATTATATCGATCATTTATAATGCCATCAACAAGTTAGTAGTTCCAGCGTCACAGGGCACTTTGATCAATGTCAAATGGTTGGAGACAGCAGCTTATAGGTAACGTCCCTTACGAGTCAGAATACCTCTCAAGGAATATTGATTCCGTCGAGATTGCAGGTACAACTCGCTAATGAGTGCTGACAAGCACGAAATCTAAGTCCAGAGTTTCCTGCTAACCATGGTCAACATTTTTAAACTTTCTGTCATTTTGTCGATATCATATTCTAAGATTTGCCAACGGTTTAATTTTTAATTCTTGTTTAATGCGTGATAACTAGTGAATAAAAACCCACAATAAACCCTCATTCTGTCAACTACTGAATACGTTAGGCACACAAAGTAACTGGGATTCACTTGAAAGTCATTCACATACAGACTTTTATTATCGTTTTGTGTGACAATATTTTAATCTGCATCCCTTTAAGCGGAATCTCTATTTTTTATTCATGCAAATCTCTGTTACATTCAAGTAATTATGCACCTCTTACCTCATGTAATCAATAGTCACCCACTGGGCTGTATATTCGATGGTTTTGTTATCATAAAAACATGAAAATCAAATCCTTTTTAAACGCTGTCAAAGTAGTACTTTTTTAAAGACAGGATCACTTTAGGTCTGCTATATGAAAGTCACCAATAAAACGTCTAGGGTATTTGTTTCGACTTTATTTTTTTGCAGTCAACCATTTTTTTCGTGAGTCAATACAAATGAAACAGGACTGAAGTCCTTTGCTTTTTCGACTTCGCAATTTTTTGAACAAGCTTGGTAATCACCTAACTATCTAGTATGATGACCTTTATTTCAACTTAGACGTCTTTGTTCAATGGATGACATAAAATATCTTTATGCATTCATTGCCATATGGAGGAACAATTTCTTGGGGAGACTCTAGTTATTTCGTAATCCACTTGCATACAAATAAATATTCTTTTCCTTTTTTGTACCTTATATTCAAATGATTAACCCGATTCCTATCCTGATCAATGGAATCCAGTTATTCCAGTAAAGAAGTAAAATTTATTTCTCTTATCTAGATGGAAAATAAGGATAAAGTATTGTGATAAGTGAAGCGAAAAATGTCTGCAGAGAAGGGTAGGAAACTAAATAATTATGTCAAGTAAATAAATAGCTCTAAACATTTAAATGTTCCCTTACTACTTTTAATAGACATTATGCAAAAGTACTAAGTTCATTTCCAGCTTGCTTTATTATTTGTCTAGTCATATTTGAGAGAGACGTATATTTTAACTGAACGATGGTAAATTATTAATAGCCATTCTAATTTGTCTGTTTACTGAGTACTACCTGGACTTTACACACAGTTAGGTATATTTCAGTGTGTATTTACGCATGTCAGTATATCTGATAGGATTCAGACAAATTAAAAGTCTGAAAGCATTATGAAGTCAATTCTTTAACGCACAGGTCATAATTGTAGACAATCGGAGAGTTTTCTTAATGAATCTGATTTTACCTGAGTACTAGCTTGTCTTCAACAAGTAAAACAGTAGCCTTGAGAACAGTGAGCAACTGCAAGCAATAGATTTGAAAATTTCACCCTTTTTTTCGAAGTAAGGAGAATTTGTTTTGGTTTTTTTTAAGAAAAACGTAATGTTAAGCAAAACCATAGAGCAGTCAAGAATCTGCATAACATTAGTGAGAATAGGCTCATATGAGAGCTGCAGTCAAACAAATCAGTATACACGGAATCAGAAAATTAGTCTATGTGGTTATCAACAAACTGTCGCCAACTCACAGTGAAACTAAACAACTTTAATTCAGATTCATGGAGAGACAGTAAACAGTAGATACCATGAAATCCTACTTAAGAAATTTAATAAACTAAAATAAGCTGCTTTCAGGAATTCAAGAAATACTTAAAAGTGTTCAGGAAACTCATGAAAGAGCTTGGTGTGATACTATGAATGATTACAAAGTTAATGAAAATAATATTAGGGTCTCTGTCCCAATGCCACGCAAGATATCGACAACAGAAACTTTATCTAAGCCTAGAAATTAGGATGGAAGTAAGAGTGAAATTAAAGCTCTAAAGTCCATTTGAACACATCCTTTTGGCTTTATGATTTTATGTACTATAACAGCCAAAATAGTTGGCGCTAATAAATAAACCGAAGCCTTCCGGATAGTCAAGCAGATGTGCTAAAGCAGTTAAATGTTATCGATTTGGCTGTCGGAGCCTAGAAACTTGGCTTTGTTCACGATCATCAAAACTAAAGAGGTAAGTAATACGGAGAAGAACTCTGCTACTGATATGTATGCGGTAAAATACAACCAAGTGGTAGGATGGCGCACAGTAAGTCTTAAACAGTAATATGTTTGAGGGGCAAGAGAGCACTTGATCATCCAATCTTTATTCATAGACGCGATGTCTAACAAATGGGATAGAAATGATACAGTACTGATTTCAAATATGCTTACAGAATTTCATTGCCTATGATATCGAAGAAACAGATTTAGTGGGACTTTAAGAAAAAAGTCAGGAACTCATGTGATTACTGGGATGTGATTTCTATGGCATTTAATGAATGATATTATTCAGTGTTGTCTCTATCAAGCATAGTCATGAAATATGTAATCTTACTCCACCAAACTGCCTAGATTCTCTCCTTACGTGTTAAGGTGTGGTTTATAACCGACATTTCCTAAAAGTTTTGGGAAAAGAGCTTGAAAATGTGAACAGAAAACCTATATAGAATAACATACCAGGTATACCAAGGTTGTTGCTTGTTTTCTGAATATTTGGCAACACAACGACTAGTTATTACAAATATTTTATACCTGATATATCTTGCTCCTGTTTTCGAAGACTATCATGAATAATTCTTATTCTGTCTCACAAAGAATACTTGTTCCCAAAAGAATAAACACAGCAAGAGATCAGTATTTCGTGTATCTATGCTTTTATTACAAAGCATGACCTGTCATTCATTTCTACTAGACAAAAGAGACGATTCACACATTCGAGATGATCATCCCTAGAGGCTAATAATTTTTATGTACTAATAGCATAAGGAAAAATAATATGAATGTGTGCCGAATACATAATTATCATGATAACAATAGCAAACATAAATCACAGTGGTATAGATTATTTTGAAGACCACCAAATTTATTTCTTTTGGAAAATTATATTCATTTTTGGCATATCTAATTTATTTGCCAAACGGATTTTCATCCTTTCTATGTGTGTAAGTATACAGAGGTTTACTTCGTGACCTGATTACTTGCTTCGTTCTACCTACTTTTCCCTTCTATCCCACATTTTTTCTCTCTTCTTTTAACTCTTTGTACTCTTACAAAAATTTTTATCATTAAGGGATGTCAAGAGGATAACAAGAAGTTAGGTCTTTCTCTTTTCGCTGTCACTCCCTCCATTCATGGGATTGCTGGACCTAATTTTTTCATGCATAATAATAGTGACAGTAATAATGGGTGTCAGGACGTTTATTTCATATAAATGTGTATGGATTAGTCATATGTGAAGATAATTATTGGGCTGGGTATTCAACTTCTTCCTCTTTCATAAATATACATGTATTTACTGTCAGTCTTTAACAGTCCAAAAAATTTTCTTTTCTGTTTAATTAGCTAAATTCTCCTAAAAGCAGAAAATGAATGTGATGAGTGATTCATAAACTTGGAAAGTTGCCCCTAACTCCACTTTTATTATCATGTCTCAAGTTTATCTACTTTGATATATCAGTCAAAATACAGAGATTTGATTACGACTCATTCAATGAAGAATAAAGGCCTAACTATTTTATATGATTACAGTAGAATTATTCCAATAAATATCCACATGAAGTAATTAAATTCTTTTTTCCTTTTCTTTCATACTAAAATGAAAATTTCTTTGGAATATTTAAGTGTTTCCTTAAAAATGCCTCCATAGAGTGTAGGAATGATTCACTGTTCACCAAATTGGTTAATGATCAAGTGTCATTAGCATTGGGACCACGGAAATATTGAATAGTATAATTGTGGAAGAATCCAATATTTTAAGCCAGGAATTATATGTTCATTACTAATAAATGAAATGACTATCCTCAAAAGAGTTGAATAGAAGGGAAAATGTTATAATTAATCTACTGAATACAAAGTGGATTGTCCAATTTTAGTGTATTTCCTAAGAAGTGAACTGCGCCATGTATCAAAAACTTCATTTCCTGCAACGGGTAAATCCTGAAAAGTTCATCTTTCTCATTTTCTCGGAAATACATGTGGATTGCGAGGAATCATGATAAAGTGATATGTACGTACTTACATTACCATTTGTTTCTAGATACTCATTGATGTGCTGCTACCTGATCCTGATATTGCCGAGTAATATTTTATAGTCATGACTACAGCTTACTCGTTAAGCTAGATGACTCACATTTGTTGTACATTTCGACTGATTTGATGTGGTTGGGAGCAATTTATAAAAAGCCCAGAGCCTAACTTTAGTGATAATGTCACTCTGCAACAAGTTGTAGCTTCAACTCCTGTAGCGGTTATGTCTCCTTACGGATACCACCACTCGTAACTCACGGCTAGAGACAGGTGTCACCAATAACCTGGATGTCCATGTGCGACTATGTAGAATACGTAATAAGTTAATACATCTTCTGTTTTGATATCCCCAGTTTACTATTTATTGAAGTTATTTCTACCTCACAGATTCACAGCACAATCTCTGCATCCAGTAGCATGATATCTTGTCATTTTTACCAACACGATATAAGGTTATTTTTCTCAAACTTTACTGTTAAATTATTTTTAATCTCCTTACACACTTGTATACAATAACCTTAACTTTTTTCAGAATTTGTTTCCTGATCACCATTGTATTTTCTTTATATTTTAGATGCTTCCTCATACAAAACAAGTGGACTAAAATGTGTCCCCTGTAGCAGTGAGTAAAGCTTTAAGTTACAAGATATTCACAGAACGTAAGTCTTATGTCATGAAATTTGTTAAATCACCCCATTTACTGTAATATGTACACGGTATGATTTAAATGTCATATAAATAAATATCTTTCTGACCGCTTGTTTATTCATACGTTTATTTGCTTCTTTCTGTTTTCTGATTCACGAAAAATTTTTATTCGGCTAATATTACAATTATGACGCTTTCGCCGGTTTATTTAGTTAACGAAATGCTTAGTAACTTAGTGTTATGAACAGTTGTACTAATATTTGAAATAGCTTCTTGTTCTTCATTCACTTTCACGAATTATATATCCTTTTTTATTTTAACGTTGCAGAGTAATTTATGATCTATATTGAGCTAATATTTAAAATGCTTATATCACATAAGATTTACAACACTCTTCTTCAAAATAAGATGTAGAACACCCAAGTTCCATTTGTGCAAAAGACATCAAGAGCATTCTCTAAGACTGTCTATTTTGCATAGCTGCTCGGCATTAGGTATTTCTTTTTGTTAGGCTATTTTGTCATATAATATGCATATACTCTTATGTGGTTACCACCCTGTAGCTAACTCCATCACAAAGCAATAAACCATAATGTTGCATAGTATAGTTCGAAGTCTTTTAAATGGTTGAAGTTCTCCACGTTTTCTAGTAAACCCTCACGAGTCTCCAGAACTCTAGTACACCAGTGTTAAGCAGAGGTATCAGGACAAATTGGATCAAAGGAGCGCTCAAAAAGAACTTTCTGATACCAAAAATTTTCACGCACCTACAGGAGGGAATACAAAGGAAGAGCTGAGATAAAGGCAACTACTAGATTACATGAAAACGGCCCTCAAGGTTAATAACTTAAAGGATAGAAAATTTCTAAAAATCCAGTCGCCAGTCACCTTATGAGTACAGAACATGGAGTGGGTGTTGGTCACACCTTCTAAACTATCAATACACAGAGTGGGGCTGGCCTAATTAGGTTTTCAGAAGCGATTGAAATTATATGACTATAACCTGGTCTCTGAGTACAGAATAACAGTGTGGTTAACCTGGCACTGTTGTGGTAACTATGCTCTCATTTTGTTGGGTTATCTCCAGTCCATTTTTCATACTTCTCTTAAGATTTTCACTCACCTATTAAAGTTTCTCCTCTACTTTACAAACAGATAAACTTGTTGCATAATACACTTTCCTTTGACCTGAACATCTTTTACTGAATAAATATGCGTAAAAAACCCTATTTTGATAATTTCACTGGTATCCTTTCTCTGTATTTCCTTGATCTGTAAATATGCTTTGAATTGTGAACTTGACTTTTGTTTTAAACACTCGGAGTGTGCCAAAAGTTTGTTTGTTGGTTGCTATAGCTTTCTTGATCTCAGGGCTTCCGGAGCAGGTTAAAAGCTGTGAAATAATGTGTTCCCACTTTATTCTGCTTTGTTTCAACCTGTTAATGAGTCTAAGTGTTTTTTTCACAGCTCTAGAAGTTTGCCAACTTAAACAAGGTAGACACCTATCTGATATGTAGGTAACAACTTTCATGGATGCTTGTCATATTGTAATAAGTGAAAGTTAACACTGACTCTGAAATAAAATCTGCATTGACTTGTAAATCAAATAACTGACCTGAGCAGAGATGTTCTATGGTAGACTGTTGTCTTCGTTTGCAGATAAAAAGTGTCAGGTTGAACAGACTTGTAATAAATCTTTGAAGGTTAATTCACACGTAAATCGAGACAAATAATGAAAGAACTATAGAAACCTTCAGAGTGCCAAAAATTTACGTGTGCACGCATGCGGTATCAAAATAAACTTGAAACGTTTTTCGTTGATGTGTAGCACCATGTTGTAGCCTATCCTAATTCAAGTTTGTGTCTGTGATAAGCACGAATGTTTAAAAAGTTTGTCAAATGAACATACAGTTATTTAACAGTAAAATAAGGAAACATTTGACCTTTGGAACAATTATTTTCTCACCTAGGTTGGTTTTAATGTATTCCGTAGCAAACTAGCAAATACTAACTGAGTTCGATACTAATATTTTCTCTTTAATTCAGAAAAGCGTTTGCCACTTTTGTCAAATACATTTAGTCATGCAATAGCATATTTTTGTCTTTGGGTAACTAAAATAAAAAGCAAGTGAAAAAGGAAAGCTTTGCTTTGTTACCGTTCTTAACTGTAGCTGTAAAGATTGAACGATATTTAAGAAAAAAAGCGTATGATCATTTGAAAATGTTTTTGACACGAAAGGAAATAGTTAGCAGGATTTTTTTTAGGACAAAACAGTAAACTAATTCTCATGTCTGGTGATTATCGAAGTAATCTGATTCAAGTTATTTCCGGCAAAACTGCCACTAATACCGCTTTGAATTAGTTCATTCGGTATGATTCACTTCATATTCAACAGAAACAGTAATATATATAAGGATTGCATGAATTCGGATTTCAGTTAAGAGAAATTCGTGTTTGAAAAGTTCTGAACATTTGTAAAAATTTAAATGTTATACCGAATAACAGTGTGGTTGTTATCAAAGCCAACGCCATATCTTTTTGATTTCACGCTTTTCATATGAGTAATGATAACAGTCCTCTGAAATTTCAGCCTCAGTATCCAAAGAATAAAACTGGATTTGTTAATATACTAGTCTCATTTCAAGTAATGACCAGTTGTACAAGATAAAGCTGAACAAAGAAATGTCCTCTCGGCACACTGCTACCATGAAATGTTTGTTTCATAATATAGAGAATTTGTATCATCTATACATAACTGTTACATAGGCAATTATGGCTTCATCGTTCTGAATTCTCATGTATGAATCTGCTGTTTTGTAATCCTGTTTTACTTTTCACTTAAGATTATCTTGTGTAGTAATGATAGATGGTGGCTAGTGGTGGTATTCAAGACGTGTGTTTCCTCTGGTCTGCGACTCGTCAGCTAGATGTACCTACTTCTCACTGAGAAGTGTTATTCCCACTAAGACTCGAATTCGAGGTCGATCACTTCAAACGACTGAGCGTTATCCACTAGACGACCAATTTCTGATAGCCACTTCTTGTGCGAAGGGGATGGTTTTTATTTTGTTGCTCGTATTATCCCGTCGTTTATTACGCTGAACTGATCACTATCTGTTGGCATGTATGTTCCTGCTGTCGATCAATTCGTTTGAATTAGTGACGGGATGATGCAAGCAACAACATGAAAACTGTACTTTGTTGTTTTTGGTGTATTCTAAGATACTTTGAAATACAAAACAAATATGAAATAATGATTTAGTAGTGTTTCCAAAATGTGTGAACTGATCTGTTTTATTCATCAAGGGGTAGTTTATAAAACTGTTTTTAGGAACAGAATGGTGATTAGGGAAGAAATGAAAACTTTGACGTTCTAGAGGTCACTGGTTTGAATCTTGATATAAGCTGGGTTCAAGTTTCGCCTTCAGTCCTTATGTCTTTCATTTTACATATATGTGTATATAATGATATCGTCTGATGACCAAAAACTTAGGCATATGTCTCACGAATTTCCCCTGTGTTAACAGAAGAATGGAAGTAATTAGTTATGCACACTGTGTGCGATAAACTGAAGCGAATTCCGTTTTCATAACAGCTACCAAGAAGTACAAAATACTTCGAGGAAACTTGCCAAAAACCTTCGACAAATCATGAATACAACACCATAGCACAACAGAATCGGTGAATGATTTGTTTTCTGTTCAACACGTTAAATATGAAAATAGTGAAACAGATAAAACTAGTGCTTCTGTTCGTAACTCCTAAATAAATCGTTTGACATAAAATAGTTTATCACCGTTTTCATAATTATAGTGATTAACAGACGGTGAAGAGTAATGGCTTCAAGGTTATTTAAAGACCAAGTGTTCGTGTGCAGAACTTCATCTTTTTAATCATATGCATGACAAAAAATCAATGCTCCAGTCCACAAAGACCTAATGTCTCCTGTTTGAATGCCGTACAATGAATAACATTCAAATTGTCGTCGATTAGTATGTAAAATTCTATCAAGGCAGATCACTACAATTTGTGAGGCATAAATGGCAAATAATCTCACACTGACATTATCTATGATATTGCCGTGTAAGGTTTATGAACCGTGACTGACGTTAGTCGTCATTTTTCCCTCCAGACAGTGGGTGAAATGAGTAGTCTCAATAATTCTCCAATTTTAATCATACTTTTATCAAGAATACCATATCAATTTTATATGGTAGCGTACCGGATACCAGCAGTGGTTATCATGACCTAGTGACGTTAATGAAGGTATCCAACGTCTCAAACCACAGGTGCATTTAGTATGTCAATAAAAAGCATATACATTGAGGAATGAATTAACATATTGTCAATAAAATTATAGAGATAAGTTAATACACAGTATCATGCTATTAATTTTTTCAGTATTTTGAGTAAAATTAAAAATTATCATGAGTAAGGAATAGAAGTTTCAACTTTTGTTGTGATAACGGACAGTAGTTTAGGTCGAAATTCTACCGAAGTGAAAATCTGTTGTCATACATTTAGTTCCTTTGACAAATTTGAACTATGCAAGGATTCTATTCTGCAACCATCATTGTTCCTGTACTGAAAACATACTGTCGTGTGTAAAACTGTCATTACAAACTTATAATATGTTAATTCATAGTTGTATTGACTATGCAGGCAAATATCTGATCTATATACTACGTTTTGTGTATAGCGTATAAGCATATCAGATAATTGAAATTTGTTTTACGTATACAAGAAGTAAGATTTATGTCTGCCTACGTAGTGATATAAACTTTTTGCACAACCAAGTAAATATAGAAAGACTACAGAATGATTTTACTTATTTTCAGGTGAATTATTGCTTCAAGAGAACCATTGACAACATAGTAGAAACTAAACAACTAACTATCGTAGTTATAAATTTTCTAGCACAGCACTTCCAAGAGTCCAAGGAAGATCCAGTCGAATACAGTTAGCCCTCTCGATAAGCATATTACCATTCAGCCTCAGTGGACTGTGGTC